CTTGTATATATAATTCTAGAGCAATAACTCATTTGAGTAATCAAAATCAATACGATAATCAAAACTAAACAGATTCTAATAGAGTTTGATATGAGAAATTACCACATTCTATTTGCAGAGAATACTTGAGATGAATGATACACAACGTTATTTGAGCTTTTCTTTAGTTTGGAGAAAACTCAACAGAACATTCATTCTTTTAGTATTGTATGGGAGTATATTTTATGTCTGCTTCATTCTTCCTATCCTTGGAATCTTCTCTAAGCCACTTTGTTCATAAATCCAGAATTCTTCTCCTAAGGCAAATGAACAACATAAAAGATAAAATAGCATAACATAAGCAACTAAATATACTTATAAAAACATCACCTTCATCAGATGGTTTAACAACATCACTTATGCTCTTAAGCGTTTCAAATAGACAATAGGAAGCAACATTTCAACCAAATATTTGTACCTCAATCCTAGCCCAAAGCTCATAAGATGAATAATGATCCTATCATTGTAGTACCATCAAATGCCGCACTGAAAGAACTTAGTGATTTGTTAGCATCCATAATCTGAAGGTACATGACTTTTCGAACCCTATAAACAGGATACAAGGCATATAAGAAAAAAAATTATATTCAATAATGTTAGGTTGCTCACAAACGGTTACAGAATTGGCCGGAGAAGTGTTAAGGCATATATATAATTCTTAAGGGAAACTCTACATAAATGTATTCTCATAATCTTTTTGTAGTTGTTTTAAGTGCTCCAAAATGCTGTAATAAAGAGTGATGTATCGACGTGCTACATCTTATTAGCACCATATAATACAGTATCATCCATCAGATGACTAGTTGTATTGTACATAATATACATAGAGTGTTAACAAGGATTATTCTCTTACTATATTTTGTATTAACCAGACATAGAATAAACTTCCGATCTAAGTCATCATTAAAGCTTAGAATCATTACCTAATCAATGTTAGAAGAGAAAACTCAGATAGGAAAGAACCTAAGTGTTGTTGTTTATACATGTCCAAAAATTCAAGAAAAGATTCTAATTAAGAGCCTTTATCAAAAATCATTTATACCTTATCATTCATGACAACCTTTCTTATTCTGCTTTCAGTACCAAGTTTCATAGCATCACCCAACCCACCACTCTAGAGGAGGGGTCCTAACTTTTTACAACCTTACTCATTTATTTGTCTATCACAAATATAAAGATTTCTTCTATGGTTTCTTAAATAGATAAATGTGAATCATAAAAACATTTGGGTATCCCTTCACAAATCTAATACCATATCATCCTGCCTCTGTTTTCTTAAGATTCTTAGAGGCTTAACAACTACATTTAATGGTATACGCTATTCATTTTCCTAATGCTAAATAAATAGCCTCTTTCTCATTTGGCAGTTGAGAAATCGAGTTCATTTGAAGCGTACAAAAAAATAAAGCTATGTGAATATTATGTTTACTTCAAATGTGCAAGAAAACATATCTTTCAACATACAATTGAAGTTCTTAACATGAGTAGTATGACAAGACTTAATTTGAACTAGATTCGATACTTTTCGCCCTGATCCGGTAGATCCAGTAGGTGTTGCTCTATTCTTTCATCCTTTTAAGGTTTGTTTCTCTACACCCAGAGTGAAAACACCAACATTTAACATGAAATATAGCTTTACATAATGCTCCAAGGAATATATTCAATTATCCCCCAAAAAATTTAAAAAATAAAAATGCTTCAAGAAAAGGAGTAATCTAGCCGAACAAAATTGACAAATCTATGTAGACCAAACGAGAAATAAACTATAATTCTGAATACAAGATATAAAAAGCACTAAAAGCAAACGTACTAACCAATAAGAAAAGCTCTGCACCCATGAGAAGCCGTGAACAAAATAGTCAACTAACGACAGAAATCAGTGGTGGGTGAACTAAATCATCTCTTTGATTGAGGAAATCAGCAAGAAAATGGCACTGGAAAACCAGAAAAAGAAAGAAATCGCCACTTTGATAGCAAATGGCGATGGCCTAAGGTTTTGAAAAGGGTGACAAAAAAACTTGTGCTTTTATTTCTTTAATGTTATTCATTCAGAATATTGGCACCATTATTCCCGTTCAACTTAGAGAATTAATGACCGGCTTTTCATGGTTTTGACGACCAGATTAATTCCTATCGCTAACTAAACAAACAAAACCGACAATTAAGGACCAATAAAAAAACTCGTCCTTGTAAGTTACTTTCAGGGACCAGATTCTTAGCTGGTCGTTAAATGTTGGTCGCTAATAAGCTATTTTCTTGTGGTGCAGTACATTGTTTTGCTGAATGTCCAGCAAAGAAGATAAATTTTCAAGAATTATTTTCATATAGTTCTTGTCGCTTGGCGAGAGATTTTTCCACCAGTCTAGCAATAGAGGTGAGATACTTCGGACCATACCGAACCTGGGGACTTCGTGCCTCATTTCTGCAAAACAAATAAAGTTAGCCCTTTCCCCCTCCGGGTTTGATTACTTACACATTAATGATTAGCGTATCGGCACATTTTTTTCAAATAATGCACATATCATGATCGTGCCCGTTGGGGTTATGGAAATCCCGATAGACTTTGGACAAGGCTTTCCTTAGAGAGTTATTATGCGGACAAAATTCTAACTCATGCTAGGTTTGGACATGATGCATGCATAGTTAACATCAGAGTAGGGTTTTCTATAGNGTTTGACTACTTACACATTAATGATTAGCATATCGGCACGTTTTCTCCAAATAATGCACATATCATGATCGTGCCCGTTGGGATTATGGAAATCCCGATGGACTTTGGACAAGGCTTTCCTTAGAGAGTTATTATGCGGACAACATTCTAACTCATGCTAGGTTTGGACATGATGCATGCATAGCTAACATCAGAGTAGGGTTTTCTATAGAAGTCTAGACCGGTACCCTCAAGCGGACAACTTGAGAGGGAAAGGCACGGAACCGTCGACTGCACCACTGATCGACTAGTTTTACCGCAAATAAGCCTTTCCAAATTTAAAAAGGGTAATATAGGAAGAGTGCGGACACTCATCAAGTGCCGCTATGGTATTAATTGCGCACGAGTGGAATATGATGCAGAGCATGTAATTATGCAAACAATAAAACAACACCTTGTCAAGTATTTTGCATGATGAAAGCGATAAATGCGATATTTAATAAATGTAAAGACAGGAAAGAAAGAAAAACAAAGGAGGAGTAAGTTCGCATAATGGAAAAATTATAATAAAGCTGTAAAAGGTGTAGGGATTGGGAAAGACATAAATATTGAAGCCAGCAAACAAGGTTAAACGAAAAGTTGCATGTAAATTCATGTAAAAGGAAAAATAGGGAAGGGGGTGTACATGTAGCAAATAAACGGTGAATTTGAGCATAAAATAATAAAGACACGCTTATCTAGGGAGACTAATTCACATAGACCAAGTTCATTATGGTAAGAGCCTAAGGATATCCCCAGCAGAGTCGCCATGCTATCGCGCCCCTCTTTCTCGCGAAATCGGGTTTCGACATTGACAACTCTTTTAAAAAAAGGGAGGAAGGGTTATTAAAAGAGAGAGTCGCCACCTAACGGATTAAGGTGCGTTAGGGCACCTATCTGCAAATGACTCAGGTTTACTAGTTTGCATCACCAAAGACCGGGTAAGGAGTCAAATTACCTCGAGAAGAAGGTATTAGGCACTCCTCGAGGTCTACAACGGTGGGTCCCGGCCGAACTTAAATCATGTGAATTAGTCTAAGAGAAGAGAAACATAAAGAAAGAATTATTCTAATAGGAGTGGGGGTCCTAAGTTTTTTAGCCTAAAGGATCACCCCGTGCAACATAAATAATACATCATAACTCCCCCAAGACGGGGGTGTTACTCATATTATTCAGCGGGCACAGACTATCATCTCATATTACCCGATTACTATCTTTAATTTATTTACCTAAAGCGCTCTAATCAATTCTAAATCGTATACTATGCATGTACTACCCGTCCCTTGCCTATGGCCCAGGAGGCATTTGGACTTCTATTTTTGGATGGTTCTAGACTTAACTTAGGTTGCTAAAAAATGATAAAATCTAGGCAACATACAAAACAAATTGGACTTTCATGTGAAAGAAAATAAGGGCTCAGGTTAGCCTCCACACTTGGGCAGCAAATGCACGCAAACAAATTAGGCGTTTTGACAGTTTCAACAATTGAAGTCGTTAGGTCCTATAGACATGATTTCTATATGATTCTGGATTTTAATCATGCGAGCAGTTATGCAAAGTAATTTCTAAGTGACTGTGCAGTTGTCTACTGATTATAAGTATAAGCGGTTGAAACCAATAAATATGTTATCTAGGTGATTCACGCAATAAATAACAATGGTAATCACATGAATATGTTCAAAATTGCTTAATCGAGTCCTATAGGCATGGTTTCTAGAATGGTAATTAGTACAGTGTTGAAAACTCTTAAAGAAACGAGCAAGGCGATAATTAAAGTGGATTCAGACTCTATAGGCATGATTTCTAGAATTAAAACTCATTTTATATCCTATAGGCATGATTTCTAGAATTAAAACTCATTTTATATCCTATAGGCATGATTTCTATAGTTAAAACTGATTTTAGATCCTATAGGCACGGCATCTAATTTGTAGATTAAACCGTAGGTAAACAGAATCCCATGCACACATTGAGATGTTAATCATTCAATATCCTATAAGCATGGTTTCTAACAGGTAAAAGCAGAACATATTTAAACCAAATAAAGAACCTATAGGCAGGATTTCTAATGCATATTTGAGCAAAGTAATGAACCTATAGGAAGGATTTCTACCCATTTCAATACAAATGTAAGATAAAATCCCTTTCCCAATTTCACTAATACTCCAAAATTTTGTTACAGACCAAAAGGAATGGAATAAATTACAAAGTAGAATAACTATAGGGAGCCTACAGCAGGCCCAAAGATATACCCAGCCAAGCCAAGCCTTCATACTCATGGCTCATAACAGCCCAAAATTACATCTTTATGGACATAAGTCAGCCAAGAATTAAGTGATTCACCCAGTGGGCATAAAACAGAGTTGAGCATATAGAACCAAGACCCTAGTGTGTCAGAGTTCCCAAGGGTTTCAAGAACCCAGGGCAGTGCTCACACTAGGGAGGTTAATAGAGATAATTCAGAGGAGAGAATAAGGACCAAGTCCTAGTGTATCAGAGTTCGCAAGGGTCTCAAATGAACCCTGAGCAGCGCTCACACTAGGGAGGTCAAAGGACAGAACCTACGTAGCCTTGGCTTTCAGCCGGCTAAGAATGGGATTCAAAGAGCTTAGGTGACAAGTGAAAGAAGGGACCAGAGTTGAGAAATAGGAATTGAGGGATTTAAACAGACACGACCAAATTGAGCAAACAAAGCAAACAGTTGAATAAATCACAGAACTTTAAAAAAAGCAAGCTGAATGTAAACTGAGAAATAGGTCCCACACTTAGCGCAGAAGTAGTCGTATGCTAAAAATAAGTTGAGAAAAGAACATGTTTGCAGGATTGACAAAGATTGTTGTACACAGGTGCAAAACAGGTTGAAACATGGTTGAATTATGCTAAGTACACAACCTTGTATTATTACCAAGAAAACAGGACAGCATTGTGATGAGTCAAATAATCATAGAAAGAGCAGGGCATCATGTTAGCACAGGGGTGAGATTACAATCACAAATTAAGACACATATGCAAAACTATTACTACAGAGTGGAAGGTAAAATCATGTCAAGTAGCAGATATAGGCATTCAAGCTTTGTCATAGTGGTCTAATTAGCTAAAGATGATCCGATTATAACAAAGGTTTAGCCTAACATTGCAAAGTAACAATTCAAACATGATGAGACAATTATTCCAAATCACAAGTAAACACCAGAGGGGTATGGGGTCAAGTGATCATGTTAAGTGACACAATAGCAGAGAGGCAGATTATGACTAACAATGAAGGTCTTAACACAGGCTAACACAAATGTGAGGCATCCACTACAGGGATTCAGGACAAAGTAAGTAAACATATTCATGAGCATTCAGGAGTCAATTTACTAACTGAATAAACCTTAAGAAGGTTCAGATTAATCAGGCTAGGAGTAGATAACTTTAGAACTGGTAGCATTAAGAGCAGTTAAATTCTAAGGAGACTAAAAGCATATAAAGTTGACAGAACGATGCCTAAACATAACTCAGAAACATATTGAACCATGGATTCAGAAGTAAGAACACATACAAGTCAGAGACACATAAGGATGAAATTGCAAAAGTCAAGTGACTTACCAGTTAAGCAAAAATGCATAAAATAACAGAAGTCCAAAATATTCTAAATAGCAAGATCTCATAACTAAATGGGCTTGGCTTTCAGCCGGCCAAAATCAGAGTATAGAATGCAATATCAGAGTAAAGCTTTAGATCTAGTGAGGCTATAGTGAAAAAACGTGTCCTCTAAAAGAAATGGGGGAAGAGTTTATATAGTGTAGAAATCGAACACATAGACATGGAAAACAAATTATTCAGATGCAAACAAGATAGAAAGAAAATATTCCGAAATCAATTAGAAGCGATTTTAGAGCATAAATTAGAGATTCGGTAAATCAACAGGGAAACACACAAATAATACCTAAAATACCAAAATCGTTGAGAGTCATATTTAAGGAAAAGAATAAAGTAAAAAAAATAGGGAAAGATAAGGAAAAAAAGTAGTCAAACATAGAAAAGGAAAAATATCAAGTAAGAATCGGTAAGAAACAAAGGGGAATTCAAACCATAGTTGGCAGAAGTCAAAGATTGGCCGAAACTCGGCTAATCGGACCCATATAGCCATGGTTATGAAGTATATGGATGAGATACATGTCCAAATTCAAGTAGTCAAGAGGAAATAGTCAAAATCTGAGGTGTAGGACTTGTCATGTTTAGGAAAGTACTAAGAGGTAACATAGAACCGTAGGAGATGGTGGTATAATACACAAAAGGTAAGAAACTTATGGAAAAATCCATGATTGAGGCAGATTCTGAGAGATTTTTTTAGAGGCGGCGGGCTTGGAGGGAATGGGGTTAGGGTTTAGGGTTGAGTGATATAAGG